CAGAGTTTAGCGACTTGAACACACACACACACAGACACACAGACACACAGACACACAGACACACACACACACACACACACACACACACACACGCACACACACTTGCGGTAGAGGTCGCGGCCCCAGGGGCGTGGGCCCCGGTGCGCCATTATGTATATATATATATATACATATATATCTATATGATAGATGATTGCCTCTCTCTCCCTCTCTCTCTCTCTCGTTCATGTTCCTTCTCCGCCTTCCCCCTTGTTATCCCTTCCTTTCTTGTACCCCTGCTGTCTTCCCATCTTCTGCCCTTCTCCTCCTCCTCCTGCAAGATGGGGTCTGGCAATTGGCTGCATTGGGTCCCGGATCGCCGCAAATGTTTCGGCACTCTCGATTGATGTCTTGTACCCGATCAGGAAAGACTGGTCGGAACTGGCCAGCGGACCGACGGACACGTCCGCCTTCGCGTTGTGGGCCCAGACTTTGCCGCTTCCATACTCCAGATAATCCACAACCACGGTTTGCAGTGGTGAGCGTGAGTCCAATAGCATGACTTACGATGGGAGTGAGTCGAGCGGCTTGTCAAGCCCCTCATGTGTTTCACAAACCTGGCGTCCTGCGAAACGACTGCGATCCCCTCGCAACAAGTATCAACCGACATGTATGCTCATCACAGAATGGATGCATCTCATGGCTCTACGAGGAGAGATGTATGAATGCACAGCGTATTAGGCAAGCACCGTCCGTGGACTCTGGAATCATGTTCCCAAACTGGTATTGCACTTAGGAGGGGATAACATGCCCAGGGTAAGTATGGGTGCCGTTGGTTACGCCCTGGGTTGCGCCATGAGTTGAGGCCTTACGTTTGGCACGCCCCCCCCAGCGAACATTTGGCATGTTGTGTAGCGCCTGCGAGTGACACCATGAATGGGTATGATGATGCGATGTTGTTTCGGTGCGGTCAAGTGATGCGCACATGGGAGTCACAATGGGATGCATTGCGTTGTGGTTGCTTGCTCTGCATTGCGTAGGCAATGATTGGCATCGCACTGTTTCGTATTGCTGTGCATTGTGACGCATACGTGATATGTATTAGTGCACCGTTTGGGAGCCAATCTGGAACCATGTTTAAGGCAAACCAAACAAAACATGCATCCCTAAGGCCGCATCTGGCGGCGCGCAAGATGTGGGCAGGGCGAATGAGGCTAGGGATCAGGCCCTCCTGAGAGGCTTCCAGGGCGGCGTCTTGAAGCCAGGAGGGCTTCTGAGACGCGGGGCGCCTCCTTCGAAAGCCGCCTCCGACGCCCTCTCCCGCGTCGCCAACCCGAGATGATCGAAAATCATGCAGGCCTCCGTTGAGTCTTGGCGACGAGCCCCCCTATGAGAGTCCAGCAAGCCCTTCAGTGGGCCTCTGGACGGCGTTTGGCCGTCCAAGGAGGCGCCCCTGCAGTCCACGAAGGCCCCCACGGCCCCACGGCCCAACACCGGCCCGGGGCGGCTCCAAGACGGGCCCACGACTGCGCCCCGCGCTGCGCCCCCGCGAGCGGCGGCGAGCATGCGCGGAAGCGCAGCTGGAACCTCCTTGCCGCTGCTGTCGATGGCGCAGGACGGCTCCTTGCAAGACAGCGCGGACGCCTGCGGAATGACGATGTCGAACGAGCCCGTGTCTGGGATCGCGTGCAGCTTCTGCCCTGCAATCGTCAGGTCCATGACGTATTCGGTGCCAAAATTCTGCAGGCTCGACACATACCTCTCGCCGCGCAGCAGCCCAGCACGCTCGGAAGAGGCATTGGCCGACACCTGGATCAGGCTGAGCACATCAGGCTCGCTGCATTCGGGGGGATCCCCAAATGCAGGGGAGCGGAGAGGACGCCGCTTTGGAGCTGGACGGCTGCTCACCGCGGCGGCGAGACTGCACAGCGAGCGCAGCAGCTCCAAGATGCACAATCCTCTGAACATGTACAATCAGCCAACACAGTCGGCAACTCCTCACGAACTACCCTCCGTGCCCATCGTGTTATGTCGGGTGCCCTTCTGGACACGACAGTGTCAAGACTGGCTCTGCAGTCGGAGAGGGGTGAGGGAACAAAGCGAGTATCATAATTTCTGAGTCCTGGTCCCTGTGGTGGAAATCCCCACCCTCCTCTTCCCTCAAATCTCCCCTGCCCCTCTCCCCTCCCCGTTCTCAAGAATTACCAAAGACAAAACATAATAGCAATTCCCTCCCGATCAATCACCCACTCCCTTCAGCACCTGTATCACAATAAGTGTGAGACAAAACCAACGGAACTACGGCATCACTGGTCTTCCCGTTGCATCCTCATCAGAAGCAAGAGCCATCGCCGATATCGACATCGAACTCGTCGTCGTCACCATAATCCACGTTCACATCACGAAGTTGACCACCACCATCACCATCAGTAACATCATGGACACGATCATCATCATCATCATCATGATCATGCCCATGACCCTCACCATTTGCACGATCATCTTCATCAGCATCACCACCACCATCCCCCGCCCACCTGGCCAAAAACTGGCCCTGCCCTGTCGGCGGAGCACCCGACGCCCTGGAGCGCAGAGCCGGCTCCCCCCCGAGCCCCACCCTGACTGCCCACCATAAAGGGGCCCCATGACACACAAATTAATGCACACAAGTAAAATGATTCCCATATTTTTAAGGTTTTCGTCTTCCCCCCCACTTCCCATAGTTTCCCATATTTTCTTGGGAATGGAGGATTCATTGTGTCTGTGTGTTTTTCCCCTCCTGACACCAGGCCACCCCAGCCTGACCCGAAAGCGCCGTCGGCCACCCGCCGCTTCCCAGCGGGGGGGGGGTCCCGCCGCTTCCCAGCGGGGGGACGCTCGGGCACGTCGAGAGAGCACAGTGGAACCCGCACACCTCCCAACCCGAAACCCTTGGGGGCCTGGGACCTCCACACGGCGCGTCGAGAGAGCACAGTGGAACCCGCACACCTCCAGACCCGACCTCTCGGGGGCCCCTGGGACCTTCGGCCTGGGCCGACGTGCGGCACTCAGTCAGCAACGGCACCCTGCCGCCAGCCTCGCGGAGCCCCGCCCCCTCGGCGCCGCGCCCGCGGCGCCCCGCCTCGCCCCGCGGCGCCGCGGCCCGCGGCCGCGGCCCGGCCACGGGGCGGCCCCCCGCGCTCCGCGGGGCGCGCGCGCCCCCCTGGCAGCCCGGCGGCCGTCGGCGCCGCGTGCCCCGACCTCGCGCCGAAGGGCCGCGCCCCGCCGCCGGGCCAAGGGAGGGGGGGCCAAGAGGGGGGCGTCCAGGAGGGGGGGTGCAGATCATGGCCGGCGGCACGTGCGCGGCCCAGGGGGGGGGGCCAGGGGCGTGATGAGACGAGACGAGGCGCCACGAAACCCGGGGGGAACATCGTGGCCCACGCCATGATAAGCACCCGACCCCCAAGTCATCACCCCCCTCTTCGCCGCCCCCGCAGGGAGGCATCGCGTGCCCCCGGGGGCCCCGGGGCCCCAGGCTCGGCCGCCGAGGGCTCGGGGCATGCCCGCTGCCGCGGGGCAGCGCTCCGAGCCTCGCCGAGGGGCGCGGAGCCGTCGGCCTGCCTTCGCGCCCCCTCCCCTCCACGGGGGGGGGGGGCGGGTCGACCCCCGAGCCTCGCCGAGGGTCGCAGAGCCGTCGGCCTGCCTTCGCGCCCCCTCCCCGCCACGGGGGGGGGGCGGGTCGACCCGCTGCCGCAGGCAGGCGCGTGGCGCCCCCCACGGCACCTTCGGCGCGGAGCCCAGGGCGCGGGCCTGCACTGCAGCGGCGTGCTCTGGAGGGCTCTTGTGGCTGCACGGTGAGGTCCTCGAGCCCTGCCGCAGCTCGGGCGTGCACTTCCCGTGCGTCGTGAAGTTTCGCGCGTATCGTTGCTTGCTTGTGTGGCCCGATGATCCAGCACGCTCCTGGATGGACCTCGCCGAGAAAATGCACACGTCCGGGCGATGCCAAGGAGCTCGAGAGGGCCGTCGCCGCGGCACACCCACGTGCGCCATGCCCGCGCCGAGTGGTGGGGCATCGCAGAGGATCCTGTCACTCGACATGCCGCGCTGCACGAGCATGGGCCTCGCGAGCAGGGCGCCGAGGGGTGCCTGGTCGCGGTGCTCCGGCAGCTGGACAGAAGTGCGCCGCCTGGCTGAGCTCGGCGAAGATCCTCGCCACGCAGCTCGCCATCGATCGGACGCCCATTCCCCGTGCAGGTTCGGTTTCGTGCGTTGTATTTTTAACGTCCAAGTGGTGCCAAGGCAGAGGGGTGCGTCCCCAAATGTCTTCGAAGAACTCGCCGCCAATTGAGCGGGCCTGGCTGTCCCGGGCGCCCTGGGCTACTCGACCTGCCTCCATGAGGAAGCGGGTGAAGGAGGCGCGGGATCAGGCAGGCCTGGCGAAGCAGCGTGCGGCACCAGCCCACCATCTGGCTGGGAAGATGAAGATGCGAACGGCGCACCCGCATCTGATCCTTTGGCGCTGATGAAGGACTTGCGCAAGCACTACCTTTGTGCGCTAGTATTTTGAGGGTATCTGGCGAGAGGCGGTGATGTACCCCTCGGACACCGAGGTGGCCAAGGGCCAAGGGCGAGCGCTGGACCGCTGCTCGGGCTGACCCAGTGGCTTCACTTCACCTGGCTCACCTGGCCGCTGCGACTCGCACTGCGTGGCACCGAAGGCCAGAGGAGCGGGCAACGTCAGCCAAGTGGATGTTCCACGACTGCAAGCCAGAAGCCGCCAGGACCTTGCCAACATCATGTATCAGATCGAGCACTTTGGGACCCGATCCCGCCGACGGCACGGTCGACGCTTTCAGGCGTCGCCGTTCCCAATGAGGTATGGGGGCAACGGACCATCTTGGCAATCCTGTCGACCGCACAGCAACTGTGGAACTGCATACGTGCAACCCCGCCGTCTCAGTGGGACCCTTCACATCAGGTGTTTCTCGATACGGCATCGACAAGGTCGTCGGCACCTCGTTGGACAGTACGAGTTCGAATGAATGCTCAAGGCCGCTCGGATTTCATCATAACGCGCACTGCGTGGGACTGAGCAACACACGTTGTTCCCAAGTATGTGTCGTTGAAATGTCCAGCCCTTGCGATTCAGAAAACAAACTCGGTAATGATGGACATATGTTAATCGCCCCGACCGGCGAGAGGGTAAATCCGGTGAGCACGGTCATCGTCCCCGTACTCTCTATCGTGGTGGGATCCCCACACGGGATAAGGCTAACAAAGATGATGCTACGTACAATACCTTCTCGAACGAGCTTGCATGACTGGGCCCTGACGGCTGAGAGGCAACAGGGTCTCGGAGGTTCTGTGACGCACTGCTTGCGATCCTCTAGTTTGCCACGCACGCTCATCACTCATCATATATGACATGACATAACTTTTCCCGCAAGCTTTATTGCTAGCAGTGACACAAGCACTGCGCGGAAACGACTGTGTAAACTACCCTGGGAGATGTGGATGCAAGCGTCGACACCAAGAGGCAACTGCCTGTGGCTCACCCAGCCGAGGTCGCAGCTGCCGCAGGTTCCTGCTCGCCGGTGCCAAGGCCACGAAATACGATGTAACGTTCGGGACCCCACCGCTTCGGTTCCAGCTGTGATTCTGACACCCTCCTCCGTGTACCTATTTTGGCTCAAGATGGAAAAGAGATATCTTGTCCATCGGCATAATATATCATCATGGTAGCGTGAGCTGGCCACTCACTGTTGCCGACCCACCAGGGCCTTGGCGCGCCCGCGGGCGCCACGGCGAGCTGGCCAGAGGCTCGAGGTTGGAAAAGGGCGGCATCGGTCGCACCTGTCAACGCACCGAGCTCGGCAGTGTCCGAGCCACCGGCAGAGGCCGGGAGGAGTCAACCGGCAAGGACCGAGAAGAGCGGCCGCAAGCGCGGCAAGAGGAGCGAGGCAGCGGTCGAGAATAGACGCAAGCAGCTCCAGTTCAAGCACGGCTTGAAGGATACAGGCAATAAGCTTCACGACCTCGCGTACATCGAGGACCACCCCTCGGAGAATTCGTCGGGAGCCATCGAGGAGGCGAAGAAGGAGGTCCTAGATCAGATCATAGACCTCGAGCGTACGAGGCAGGAGATAGCTGAGAGCAAGGAGGAGCTCGCCAGGAGACACGCAGTCAAACATGGACGAGCAAGTTCGGCAGCAGTTCGACTTACTGAGGCAGGAGTTCGCCGCTCGAATGAGTCAGACCGTCGACGAGATGAGGAGGCTGGAGAACGAGAATCAACGGCTTCAGCAGCAAGTAGCAGGAGGCCTCGCGGCAATCCCGCAGGCGATCGAGCGCATGGGCGAGCAGATCCGAGGCGCTACGAACGCGGGAGGAGCCGCACCCGGTCTCGTCGACACGAAGGGGATCGGCAGGCCCACGACGCTGGGCGACGATCAGGAGAAGTTCGGAGCTTGGAACCGCAAGATGGAGAACTACGTGATAGGCGTGTACGGAGAGAGCTTTCGTCCTGTTCTTCGGTGGGCTGCAGAAGCCGAACGCCCCGTGACGATCGAAGGGGCACAGGAGGCGCACGGAGGAGTACCAGAGCTGGAGACCAAGGTCCACCAGCTGTACGCGGCGCTGATCAGCACGACGGCAGACGGCAGCGAGAGCAACGACCTCGTGACGGGCGCCCCCGACGGGAACGGTCTAGAGGCCTGGCGGAAGCTTCACCGCAGGTGGGACCCGACGACAGGTCCGAGGAAGAGGCTGATCCTGAGGTCGATCATCTCGCCTCCGAAGTGCAACGCGGAAGAGCTGGGGTCCGCCTTAGAGAAGTGGATCCAGCAGATAGGCAAGTACGAACGCCGCCAAGGAGAAGACGGGCTGGCCGAGTTGCCGGAGGATATCAAGATGGCGGCCCTCGAGATGCTCGTGCCTCAGGACATCGAGAACCACCTCGTACTCAACAAGCATCGGCTCGTGACGTTCCAGGACAGCCTGAACGAGGTAATGACGATCGTAGAGGCTCGAACCGGCGTGAAGATCAAGGAGCCATCGATCCGTGCACGGGCGCATCATCCGGACGACATGGACGTCGGATCGTTCGGAGCCCCGAAAGGAAAAGGCAAAGGCAAGGGCAAGGACGGCAAGAGCAAAGGGAAAGGCAAGACTCAGGAGCCGAAGGGGAAGAGCAAATCGACGAGCGGATCATACTCAGGCTCCCGCACATCCCCGACGGGTTCGGGCCGTGGTTCAGGACACACGGCACCTCGAAGCACCGGCGTGCGCTTCGACGGCTACTGTCGGAACTGCGAGAGATGGGGCCACAAGGCATCCGAATGCTGGAGGAAAGAGCAGGGATCGAGTACGAGGGCTGGAACTGGATCCGCAACGGGGGCAAGCGCTGGTGGTAAAGGTGGCAGCCGCGGCGGCAAGGCCGGCGGCAAGGCGGCAGGCAGCCTGGAGGAGGAGCCTGAGGCGGAGGTCGCCGCTCTGGACATGGGCAGCTTGGACTGCCTGGAGCTCGCCAGCGGCAACGGCCGCGGCGTAGCGGCGGTCGACCTCTCCCCCTTCGTGCAGGACGACTGGATGAAGTTCAACTGGGACAGCGGTGCAGCTGTCTCAGCATTCCCTCGGAGCTTCGCGCCGCCGACGGGAATGAAGGGCAACGGCAGCACGTATCGTACGGCCAGTGGTGAGCTCGTCCCGGACGAGGGCAGCTTGCAGCTCAAGGCGGAGGACGAGTACGGAGTGCTACGAGCACTCAAGGGACGCGTGACGAACGTGCACAAGCCGTTGATCTCGGTGGGGCAGGCAGCAGGAGCTGGACAGTGTTCATTCCTGGGTCGCAATGGCGGCTGGATATTCCACGAGAAGAGCCCAATCGGCAAGCGCGTGGTAGGCATGCTCGAGAAGGAGGCGAAGGCGGCGAAGCACCAGATGCTGCCGGTCTATCGCGAGCAGGGCGTCTACAACTTCTACCTCAAGAAGGGCCAACATGGCTCGGTTGCTCCTCTCGAGGAGGGACTTTCGGCGAAGTCGAAGTCCGAGCTGGTGGAGCTCCTCAGCGGCAAGTCGAAGGAGGAGCTGCTGGAGATCTTCGAGAGGACAGTCCCCAGGAGGCAGCCCTCGGCGTAAGTCCACTGGAAGACTCAATGCCGCGGTCCCCTGCGGCATCGGCTGCAGGGGTGGCAGCGGCGGGGTCGGGACCTTCCGACATGAGACCGCCGGGTTTTCAGCCAGCGGCAGCTGCCGCGGCCGACGTTTTGCCAGCTGCTCCTGATGGACAGCAGGCCGACGAGGGCGAGGAGGAGGCTCGCCCGAGGGTGCTGAAGGCACCTCACGAGCCCTCTCAGAGGGAGATCGTCGAGCACGAGGCGATGGGACACGCGACCTACCGCAGCTGGTGTCGCGTGTGTATTGCGGCAAAGGGCCAAGGCCAGCCGCATCTCCGCGCACCGGAGGACGACGAGACGGCGGTGCCGGTGGTCTCGTCCGACTACGCCTTCATGGGCCAGGACGACGCGGACACCATGCCGATGCTGGTCCTTAGGGATCGACGCTCGAAGATGATGGCAGCGACATTCGTGGAGAAGAAGGGCGACGACGCCTACGCCATCAAGTTCTTCGCACGCTTCTTACGGATCCTGGGCTACAGGAAGATCGTCAACAAGTCCGACGGCGAGCCAGCGATCCTGCTGGTCAAGAGGCGTGCGGTGGAGGAGGTTCCTGGCCTCGAGGCCATTCCCCAGGAGTCGGCACCGGCCGATCATCAGGCCAATGGGGAGATCGAGGTCACGGTGCGCGAGATCAAGAAGCAGGTGCGAGCGCTCAAGATGGACCTGGAGTCCAAGCTGGGCGTCAAGGTGGAGGACAAGCACCCAGTGCTAGCGCACCTGCCGGAGCACGCCGCATCGGTGATCAACCGATACAGGCGCGGCCAGGACGGCAAGACCGCTCTTCAGCGGCTCACGGGACGGCAGTGGAGGAAGCCGGTCCCGCTCTTCGGTGAGCGCCTGATGGTGCGGTTCGCCGGGGAGCGCGCGAGGAAGAACGCGCTGGAGGAGCAGATGGTGGAGGCTCGCTACATCGGCCACCACCCGCGCGACGGCTCGATGATGGTCATCACGAGCGACGGTGTGAAGAAGGCGGTCGGCTTTCGCAGCCTGCCGCAGAGCGAGAAGTGGATCACGGCGGGCTGGGACAGCCTGAAGGGCCTGCCGTGGGACGTGGCTCCGCGTGCGGCCAGTGCGCCGCGAGCCATCGTCGGACCGGGAGAGGCCGGTCCGCCACCGATTGTGGTGGTGCCGCCGCAGCCGCAGGCGCCGAGGAGGATGTACGTTCTCAAGGCGGACGTCGAGCGGCTGGGCGCAACGCCGGGATGCCCAGGGTGCGTCTCGATCGCCAAGCACGGCAAGGTGCTGGCTGGCCATGCGCACAACGCGGTGTGCAGCAAGAGAATCTTCGAAGCGCTGGACGCTGAGGAGGCAGGCCGGGAGAGGACCGGCCAGTATCGAGAGCGGAGGCAGGGCCAAGAGGCCAGAGTCCGCCCGGCGGCAGCGGCCGCGGCAGGGACCCCTCCGCCGAAGACGGCTCGGAGGATCACCGAGCCGGTGGCAGCGGCGGCGTCGGCGCCGGCCGCGAGCCGATCGGCAGCAGCGCCAGCCGCAGCGGCGCGCATGCGAGAGAGCCAGCCGGGAGCATCAGGCTCCGGCGTGGCGGCTCCTTCAGGAGGAGCGAGCTCCAGTTCGGGAGCAGTGAGAGCGGCAGAGGCCGCCGAGGATGTCGACATGACCGCGACCAGGTCGCGGCTGAAGCGCTTGGCGGAGGTGGCCCCGGATGACGTGCCGGAGGCCCTCGAGCGCGGTGATCCACAGCCGGCAGACGTGCCGGTACCGGTGGACATGGAGGATCTCGCGGCGCAGCCGGCGCCAGCGGAAGGACCTCAGCTGCCAGCTGGAGTGGCAGTCGTGTGGAACGCCAGTGAGGGGAGACACATGCGGGTGCTCGCTCTCGACGTGGCGTCGATCGAGCTGGTCGAGCTCGGAGTGCTGACGAGGGCGAAGGCGGAGTTGCTCCCGCTCGTTCGCGAACAGGTCAGCGGCCATTGGGCCAGCGTCGGCGTGGACATCGCCGACGAAGAGGTGGACGGCATCGCCTTATCGGCGTTGCAGCTGGGCGCCGTGGACGTGGCAGAGGTGCACTCGCCACATCGGTTCTCGGCTCGGGCGGCGGAGTTTCAGCTGCGCCCGGGCTTCGCGGCGGACCTGGAGGAACTCAAGGAGGACGGGACGCCGTGGGACTTGCGGCGACCCGAGGATGTCAAGGAGCTCGAGGAGCAGCAGGAGCGGATGGATCCCATCCTGCTCACAGGGTCCCCTCCATGCGAGAAGTTCAGCTTGCTGAGGGGCCTGAGCGCCAAGTTCAGGACCGATGAGCAGGAGGCGGCTGAGATGGAGGAGGCCAGACACCACCTGAAGGTGGCAGTCGACGCCTACTGGCGTCAGCTCAGGAAGCCAGGCAGGTACTTCCTGCATGAGCATCCCTGGAGCGCGCGATCGTGGAATGAGGACATCGTCAAGGAGCTGGTCGCGCATCCAGGAGTCTTCACGGTCAAAGGCCCCATGTGTCGGTGGGGCATGAAGCTCACGAACCCACGCAGTGGCCAGGAGGAGTTCGTGCGCAAGGAGACCGGGTGGGTCACCAACCACCCAGGCTTAGCCCGGAGACTGCAGGGCACTTGCAGCAATGTGGACGGACGCGCGGAGTGGCATCGCCACATCACGCTCGTGGGCGGCATCGCGCGGTTCGCGAAGGTCTATCCACCGAAGTTGGTGGAGGCGGTGCTGGAGGAGCTCAAGGACACGCTGAATGACGTGGGGGAGCTCAGCACCGCCCAGGTGCAGCAATCGGGCCCAGTCCCTGTGGACGCGGCGGTGCCGCCCGGGGACTGGACGAGCTACTGGGATGACGTCAATGGCGGCTACCTGGAGGCGGGCCTTGTGGCCCAGGCTCGCGCGGTCGAGCGCGAGTGGGTCAAGAAGCAGGAGCTGATCGAGATCGTCCCGAGGTCTCAGGCTTTCGCCGAGACTGGGCGTCCGCCCATCCCACTCAAGTGGGTCGACACGAACAAGGGTGACGCGGAGAGGCCCAACTACAGGAGCAGGCTCGTCGTGAAGGAGATCAAGGCGAAGAAGCGCCCTGACGAGCAGCTGGAGGTGTCCGAGGTCTTCTCGGCAATGCCTCCTCTGGAGGCCATGCGGTCGCTGGTCTCGCTGATGGTCACGTGGACGCGGGAAGCACCGCTCCACATTCAGGAGTCGCTTCGCAAGAAGGGCAGGAAGCCGGGCAACTTCAAGATCGGCTTCTTCGACATCAGCAGGGCGCACTTCTACGGGAAGGCGCAGCGGAGGATCTTCGTGGAGCTGGAGGAGGAGAGTCGCAAGGAGTACGGCGAGGACAAGTGTGGCTTACTCCTCAAGTCCTGGTACGGCACGCAGGACGCCAGCAAGATCTGGCAGGGCGACTACACGGAGCTGCTGGAGGAACACGGCTACAAGGCGGGCGTGTCGTGCCCAGCGGTCTTCTACAAGGAGGTGGACGAGACGAGGCTGCTGGGGCACGGCGACGACTTCGCGGTGCTGGCTCAGCAGCAGGACATCGACAGCTTCGAGGCCACGTTGGGCAAGAAGTACGAGTTCAAGAAGACTGCGAACCTCGGCTTCGACGAGGGCGACGACAAGCAGGCGGTCTTCCTGAATCGGGTCATCGAAGTCAGTGCGGGAGTTCCGCCTGGCGGTGGCCGGCCCTGCCGGCATGCGATGATTGAGCCGGACAAGCGGCACGCAGAGATCGTGATCGACGAGCTGGGTCTCAGCAAGGCCAACGGCGTGGACACGCCGATGGAGAAGCGCAGCGCCGACAAGCAGATGATGGACGCGAAGTCGGCGGCGCTGGGAACGGCGGAAGCTTCGCGCTTCCGATCCCTCACCATGAGGGTAGCCTACCTGTCTCAGGACAGGCTGGACTTGGCAGAGGCATCGAAGACGCTCGCCAGGTCCATGCAGACGCCGACGGAGGCGAGTTGGCTCATGCTCAAGAGGGTTGGCCGCTACCTTAAGCGGCATCCCAGTACGGTGACGGTCTTCACGGAGCAGAAGATGTTCGACAAGATCCGAGTGTACGTGGACTCCGATCATGCGGGCTGCGCAGTCACTCGGAAAAGTACCGGAGGCTTCGTGGCGATGCTAGGGCATCACGTCGTCAAGCACGGCAGTAATCTTCAGTCGACGGTCTCTCTGAGCAGTGGGGAGAGCGAGTACTACGCCCTGGTGAAGGGCGGGAGCGTGGGCCTGGGTCTACACAGCCTCTTCGCAGATTGGGGGCTGGACCTGAAGGTGGAGCTCGCCTCAGACTCATCGGCGGCCCGGGGCCACGTCCAACGGCGAGGTCTCGGGAAGATGCGACATGTTCAATCCCGATACCTGTGGATCCAGGAGCGCGTGGGCAAGGGCGACCTCTCGATCGCCGCGGTTCCTGGTAAGAACAATGTCGCGGACGTGCTGACCAAGAGCGTGGGTGGATCTCTCTTGAGGAGACACATGGCGACGCTCAACATCTGGGATCGGGCACCGAGTTCGACCCAGAAGGATATCAAGTGAAGGAGTGGATCGAATCCATGCTCCGCTACCTGTGGGGCTGGATGAGTTTCCGCCGGTGGCGGTATGATCGCACCGGACGGGTGAAGTGAGGGGCTCGCGGCATGGCCGCAGCCTGGCTGACGAGATGGGCGCGTCGGCTTGGACGCGCCCGCGTGTGACGTGGAGATGGGCGTGTCGGCTTGGACGCGCCCGCGTACGACGCATGTCGTGCCTGGCCGGGTTGGCGGCCAGGCCCGAGGAGGAGTGATTCTGACACCCTCCTCCGTGTACCTATTTTGGCTCAAGATGGAAAAGAGATATCTTGTCCATCGGCATAATATATCATCAAGCTGCCTTCTTTGAAGGGGCCCCAGGACACACAAATAAATACACACAAATAAACAGATTCCCCACATTTTCCCATATTTGTTTGGTTTTTGTCTTCCCCCCCACTTCCCATATTTTTGCATATTTTCCTGGGAGTCGACGATTAATTGCGTCTGTGTGTTTCTTTCCCTCCTGATTCTTGCCAACGCAGTGGGATCCTCGACCGCCCGGTGTCTGGACGAGGCTGCAGGCCCCCCCCCCAATGGTGCAGCGAGGGGTAGCGATTCTCCCAAGGCTGGCGACGCTGGCCTCTGAACACGTGGCCCACGCAGATCTCAACGACGTGGTAGGCGACCGCCGGCGAGGACTGCAGCGCGCCCCGATGCTGCTCGCTTGGGAGGGCGAGCCCTGGGAGAGGCAAACGCCCGCGAGGGTGTGGGCGGCTGACCAGTCCAAGCTCCTTCGCGAGAGTGCTCAGAGGCTCGCTCTTTGAGGAGGCAGGCATGTGGAAGCGCTGTGATTGCCTGACCCCTGGTCTGCAATAGCTGCTTCATGGAGGTCGCTGACGATCCCTGCTCTCCCGACCTACCCCTTCTCGATTGACCGAGGACGTCGTGGTTGCCCCCCCACCACGCACATGGGGCGGCGATATCTTTACGCCCTTCGAGAGCGACATCTGGGCGGAGACGGGGCGGCTGGATCCCAGCCATCGGCTTGTCCTTTCGTCGACAGAGTGCGCGGGCTTCCACGCCAGCAGAGGGCAGCAGAGTGCGCCTCGAGTGCCAGCTTTGTACCCATCCCACTGGGGCCAACGGCGGCGTCATCCGAAGAGGCCGAGGGAAGCCAGGGCCACTCTTTGCGGCCTCCTCGCGCCAGGCCGCGCCTGGTACTCCCTCCCCCGTCCCTGACGCCTGACGCTGCCTGCGCTCGCAAATCCGAGACGTGGCCCCGGATCCCCCAGTTCCTCGTCCTCCCCCTCCTGCTCCTCCTCCTGCTCCTCCTCCTCCTCATCCTCCTCCTCCTCCTCCTCCTCCTCCTCCTCCATCGCCTCTGCCCTTCGACCCCCCTCCCATCCCCACCCCTTCGACCCCCTCCCTCGACACCATTCCCTTTCACCCTCCCGTCGACCCTCATCCACTCCCTCCTCCACCGCCTCCTCTCCTCAACCTCCTCCTCCTCCTCCTCCTCCTCCTCCACCTCTCCGTACCCCTCCCGATGCCCTTCGCCCATTCCCCCCCCTCCCTCTTCACCTCCCCCTCCCTCCTCCTCCCCCTTGCCTCCCAGCCGGGAGCATCCTCCGATGGGGCGAGGCGTCATCCCCCGACGCCGTCTGTCGGATGCGGGGGGGGGAGCAGGAGAGCAGGAGGAGAGCAGCAGGAGAGCCAAGGAGGAGAAGGAGAAGCAGGAGGAGAATCCGGCGGGAAGGGCGGGGACGAGGAGCAGGAGGAGCAGCTGGTGCTGTGGGAGGGACCGCGCGCCGAGGAAAGACGGGGAGGAGCAGCATGAGAAGCAGGTGGAACAGGGGCGAGCGGAGGGAGCAGCGAGCAGCAGAGCAGAATCAGGAACGGCCCGGGAGGAGCCACTGGAGGGGGGCGCAGAGGGACGAGGAGTAGGAGGGGATGGGGAGGACGAGGAATACAGAGGGGGGCGGGGGAGCAGATAGAGCAGCAGCAGCAGGAGCAGTTGCGCAAGGACGAGGAGGAGGAGGAGGAGGAGGAGGAGGAGGAGGAGGAGGAGGAGGAGGAGGAAGGAGGAGGAGAGGAGGAGGAGGAGGAGGAGGAGGAGGAGGAGGAGGGGCCCCCGTCTGCGTTGGCCGGCATGAGGTGCGGTAGCTGAGCTGCGGCCCTCAAGAGGCGGCGGCGCAGGGGCGCATGGCGGGGCGGGGCGCCCCCCCCTGGCTGCGGCGAGCCGACGCGGCCACCAGCGAGGAGGAGGACACTGCTGGCGCGCCGCGACTCCTCACTCCTCACTCCTCACTCCTCACTCCGCACTCCGCACTCCTCGCTCCTCTCCTCCTCCTCCTCCTCCCTCCTCCTCATCCTTCTCCCTCCTCCTCCTGCTCCCTCCTCCTGCTCCTCCTCCTGCTCCTCTCTCTCCTCCTCCTCCCCTCCTCCTCCTCCTCCTCCTCCTCATCCTCCCTCCTCCCTCCCCCTCTCCTCTCCTCCTCCTCCTCTCCCTCCTCCTCCTCCTCCTCTCCTCCTCCTCCCTCCTCCTCACGCCCCTCTCTCCTCGTCCCTCGTCCCTTCGTCCCTCCTCCCTCCTCTCTCCTCGTCCCTCGTCCCTTCGTCCTCCCTCCCTCCTCCTCCTCCCTCCCTCCTTGGACACTACCTTCCTCTCTACCCTGGTGACGTCCAAGAAATGTTCGGCCCCCCTCCGCGCACTCGTCTTGTACACACAAGATTCCCGGGAAACGGGTTTTCGCTGAGGTAGTTGTTTCAAAATGCTACTCTCGCTGAAGCGCTGGCCTCATGCTCGGGTTACCGCTCGTTCAAATCGTGCTCCCGCTGCAACGCTGGCCTCATTTCCGCACTTCCGCTCGTTCCGAACCGTGCTCCCGCTGCAGCGCTGGCGTCATTATTTCCAGCGCCATGCCGCGGCATGATTTTCTGTCCTTCCATATAGGCCCCAAAATCTACAACATGCTCCCCCGAAGCAACCATCGGACGAGGATTCGTTGACATGTTTGGGCGCAGAAGCTCCCCCCCCACTTTGGGGCGTCGCCACGCCATGTATGTCAGACACGCGTTGATCTTCAACACCATGCCATGCCATGTAATGCCATGCCCTGCTGCGACATCCGACTGCGCGAAACGAGAGGAGAGATCTGCGCCATGGCAAGGGCTGGGAGGGAGGAGCAGGACGTCAGATATGACGCAAGCGCACCTGGCTAGTCCCCTCCTCCTCCTTCTCCTCCTCTTCCTCCTCCTCCTCCTCCTCAACCTCATCTTCCCCCTCTTCCTCCTCCCTCCCCCTATTCCTCCTCATCCTCCTCCTCCTC